TACTCTTAAAATGTAAATAGATTATGCAGTTTTTAAAGTAAGAGTAGACACATAATTGAAGTTTTTGTGTTCCTATATTTTATATTTAAACATTTGTTTTCCTTAGAGGATTATTTTTTAAGAGAGAGAAGGGATTGACCAGGGATTGAACCTGCACGTGCCAACGCTCTAATCAACTGATTGAGCTATCTGGCCAGGGCACAATTTTCTTTTCTAGTGCAAACTTTTAGACTTGTTTAGATGGAACTCCCGTTTATATGAGTGATAGAAATTGATCTGACTTGTATGGTAGCTTTAAAATAGCTATAACTGCTGTTTTCTCTGGCCTTACTGATAACCTGAAAACTTTATCACAAAGTTGGAAATAGTATAAAAACAGGGGCATTTTGGTATTGCATTTTAATGAAATGAGCAAAAAACCTTTTAAGTCAGTCTTTCAAAATGGTACTAGAGCCAATACTCTAAGACATTTTAAAATGAAGTGACTTACATTCAGGTAATTAAGAATGTTATTTACGAGTGTTGAAGATTTGCAGTGATATTCTGGGTGGAACGAGTTAGTGCTTACAAGTTATAACAGCCACTATTTATTGGATAGTTGTGTTCCTGGCACTCACAACAATCTTGAGAGTTAGGTATTGTTATTCCTATTTTACAGGTGAGAAAACTGAAGTTCATTGAGGGGAGGTAACTTGCTCAAGGACATACAACTAGTAAGTGGCAGAGCCAGGATTTAAAACCAATTCAACAGTCTGTGTTTTTAACCTCTATTCTATATTGAAATTTTGTTTTTTTTCCTCCCAGTTCTAGTTGTTGATGCTCATTTTACACTGAAGAGTTGGCTTAGCTTTGGCATTTAATTTATGGTATTTTGAGGAAGTAAGAATGTTTCTTTGTTTTCAGTTAGAAATAGAACTTCTTAAATATTTCTCTTAAATGTTGTGCTTCTATCCCAATATATCTTGTCAATTTCCAGCTTACATAGGAATAAGTTAGTGAAAAATGTGTTTCAACCCTAAATAAGGTAAATCTCCAAGTAGTGGAAATAGTATGTTGTTTGGAATAGCAGCTTTAGAGGGCAGGAAATGAACGAAACTATTATTATAAATCATTATAAGACTTACTGTGAAAGAACCTTGTTATCATAGCTCTTGTATTTCAATTATTTTTTTCTTTTCCCTCTTTAGCATTTATAAATGGATGCATTTTTTGACTAGTTACCTGTAGAACAAGGTTGCTTCTATATCCATATTTTGCTTTACTCAGTTTTTGTAGTTTTTATGATAAAATGACATTCTGGCCATTTCCACATCATTGAAAGTTAAAATATTTAGTGTTTCAAAGGAAGGAGTGGCTTTCTAATTTGATTTTGAAACTTTAAATTTTACTGCATATATGTCAGTATAGTTTACATGGCATTTTTGTAGTTCTTACTGAAACTAGAACAGAAAAAGTACTATGCCCTTTGCGGTTTGGCTCAGTTGGTTGAGTGCCCTCCTGCAACGCAAGGGGGTCACTGGTTCAATTCCTGGCCAGGGACTTGTGTAGGTTTCGGGTTCAATCCCAGGGAGCATGCAAGAGGCGACCAGTCGATTTTTCTCTCCTCTTTCTCCCTGCCCCCATATTTAAAAATAAATAAAATCTTTTTTTTAAAGAAAAAGTGTACTAAGTAGTTCCCTTTTAATTTCTTAAAGTAACAAGTTATTTAATGTGTCATAAACTAAATTTTCTTTTGTTAGGGGCAGTGGTAATTCAGTGTCTGATAGGCTGAAAACTCTAGTGGCACATACATCCTTTCTACTGATACCTTTTCCTACCATAATCCTTTGCAGAGGCCAAATCCATTCACTCATTAAATGCATCTCTTGAATTTGGTGTTCAAATGTACTCAAGTGTGAAGAAAAGACACTCCCTGTCCTCAAGAAGTTCACTTTTGATAGAGAAGACAAACATTAGTAATTATATAGTACAAAAGAATCAAAGTGAGGTTGAACTTATTATGAGTAGGAGTGATATGAACAGCATTCTAGGCCAAGGAGCAGCATAACCAATAAGAAACAACATAATTGGAGGAGTTACAAAGTTCCTGGGTTGCTTGACTGCTAAATGGCAAGAAATGAGACTTTAAGAAGATAGGATTTTATCCTTTAACATATCTTATAAAATTAGATTTCTAACAGATCTCTTAAATTTGACCCTAAGAGCAAAAAGTTCAGAAAACATTTGAGTGACTACTTCTTCTTGCTCTGTATGAGAAATGCGGGTGTAAGATACGGCTGTTACTTTCAGGAGGCTCAGGTTAGTAAAGAAAAAAATGGCACAGCAATACGTGTTAAGGTACCTAGTATGCAAAAGAATAGTTGACCGTTTGCAATTAAAAAAATCATTTTTCATTAAACTTCAATAATATTTAATTTATAGAATAACTTCTTAGATCTGTCAGCAACTTAGGTAATAAGTTTCAACAGGGGAGGATCTGAGGCCAAGAGAAGTTATCTGCCTGAAGTTTTAGAACCGCAACTCAGGATTTTTATTAACAAAGATTCTGTACTTATTACTGTATAATTCCTTTCTGGAGTGTTCCCTAGTGATACACTAAGAAAGTGACTATCTTTGTCAAACTGCCAGAAAGTTCTTTATGTTGAACCCACATTTAATTGGATCACCAAAGTTTACTACTCTCATTTTAAAGCCCTAATGTAGCTAACCTGTTTTCCCTTGTTCAAGTTAAAAATCTAGTTTATTCAGTTGTTCTTCATTTGACAATGCATTTCACCATTCTAGTTACCCTCCTTTATATAGTCTCATTGAATGAATTTATTGATTTACGATACCCAGAAATTGTAGTGATATTTCAGTTGGGATTCCACCAGCATGGATAAGCTGGAATAATTATGCCTGCAATTTCAGAAACTATACATTAATTATTAGTGATTAAGATTTAAAATTCCCTCTTCTGGGTACTTTCCTTCCCCTGGTTCCATGACCCATATACTGTGATCCTAAGTAATGCAGAAAATGATTGTCTTTGCATTACGATCAGAATACTATTACTCATGGCATCTGTCATTAAAAATCACTATTTTGGTAGAACATGGTAGGAATATGATCGCCAGCCCCCTCCAAAAAGTAGTTTGTTGTTTAGAAAGAAGATATTTTTCTTTTTTTTAAAAATTATGGTAAAGTGACAAAATACCATCCTAAGCGTTTTTAAGTGTACAGTTCAGTAATGTTAAATATATTCATTTTGTTGTATACTCAACCTCCACAACTTTTCCTCTTGCAAAACTGAAACTGTACATGCCATTAAGTCCCCATTCCGCCCTACCCCAGCTCCCGGCATTCACCATGCTCCTTTCTGTTTATGAATTTGACTACTCTGGATATAGTGTATCAGTGAAATTAACTGTCATATTTTTAATATTAACTTTCCTAATAGAATGATGGTATCTTTGATACATAAACTCATAACAAACTGCTAATAGTCTACTGTTGACTGGAAGCTTTACCAATAGCATGAGCAGTTTATTAACACATTTGTATGTTACATGTATTATAATACTGTATTAATACAATAAAGTAAGCTACAGAAAAATGTTATTAAGAAATTAGTATGGAAGAAGAAATACATTTACAGTACTGTGTTGTATTTATTGATACTGTAAGCTTATCTCAACTCTTTACAATATGAAAAAAATCTAATAAGTGGACTCATGCATTTCAAAGCAGTATTGTTCAAGGCTCAACTGTAGTTAGAGAATTTTTAGTTTCGCATTTTGACTCATTGAGGCAGTAAATTGAGAAGATAATTCATTGTTGGTAGACTAAAGAAAAACTGAACGAGAAAAAATTCCTTAAGAACCTTTCTTTTTTCCCCTAAAGCCAAGGGTATGAATATGCTCTTAAACATCTAAGCCCCAAGTATGTTCTTAGAATTCATTCCTACACCTACCATTTTGCATATTATATAGAAGTTATTTGTACTGTGCTTGAATTCTGACCATCCTGTCTTTGAATTTAAATGGTGTCTTAATCTTTATTGTAAACCAGGAATGTCCCTCGGCTCAGGTTTAAATATAGTTGGTGGTATGTTTCTCTTAATCCTTTCAGTTCACTTGTTCAGTATTATTTAGTTACAGTGCACCTAAGGCTCCTTTGGAAGCCAGGCTATCTGGATACTCACATGGAAGCTTCTATACAGAGTGGGACAAAAATAGATTTACAGTTATTCATGTGGAAAATAATAATACAATAAGTCATATAAGAACAAACATATACTCACAACTGTAAACCTACTTTTGCCCATTCTGTACATTTCTGAAGGAGGAATTTTAAACTTTTAGGTTTTTAGAATATGAAGTAGGAAAGTAGAAATTAAGGTTTGTTTGAGATGTTAAAAAGATACCTAGTAGGAAGTACTTACCATCATTGAGTCAAGTAGGTACCTAAATTTGTTAGATCTTCATATTTTTCTTGTATACAGGCCCTTTAATAAAAAGAATCTTTTGAATGGGTCAGTTTCTTTTCTTCTTCTTCATAAGGCTTAACTTACTGTCATCATTATTTATATATTATAATGTAATTATATTTTTTAAAAAATCACTTCATCGTGAAAACAACAGTAATAACTTGTTTATCCAGGTATACGTATATGTGTGTATGTAACAGTAAGAAAAAACATTTACAGTTTCAGTTTGTGTACATATGATACCGCTGTATAATGAATATAAATGGTAGTTTGGATCATTTAGCTGTTTTATGTGTGTTGGGGTTGTTTAGTGGGACAGAAATATTTGATCACTGAGGTGAACAATATGAGAATTGTAGTTTGAAATACTTTTGGTTCAAGCTGCATGTGAAGTTTTTTGGCTGAGGTGGGAACTTGTTGAAAAAATTTTTTCAGAGAGCTAGTTTTAATTCTGCTTATGAAAAATGTGTTCTAATATCTTAGAAAAGCACTACATTTTTATAATCTTAATTAGAATCTCTTCTTTCTACAGAAATAGGAAGGTCGTTGATTATTCACAGTTTCAGGAATCTGATGATGCTGGTAAGTTTTGTGATTTTGATAAATTATAAGTTAGATCCTACTAGTGGAAGCATCACCAGCTTACGTACTTTTTTATAATGCTTTCAGAACATTTTATTAATTTTAGACTATTTATGCATGTAAATTACATCAAGCTGTGTGTCACACAAAAGTTGAACTTGTGTAGATTTTAACTTTCCCTTGATATAAACACTTGAATAAATTTTTTCTTAACTTGGTTTTGTAGTCCAAAGTTGAAGTGCCCAATAATTGTAATGCAGTGTTTATTAGTTAATATACCTCCTGCTATAATCACAATTTAAATTTGTAACTTTTAATAGGGAATATTAAGTTTTTTATATAATAAGGTCACTAAGATGAAAGTATTTTGTGAAACAACTTTGATTTGTGAACTGACTACATCATAGGATGAGAAGTGTATCTTAAATATTAGCCATAACAGGTTTCTTTAGAATATGATGTTTGTTCGGTTTTTTTAATTATTGATTGATTTTAGAGAGAGTGGGGAAAGGGAAAGAGAGGGAGAAACATCAATTTGTTGTTCCACTTATTTATGCATTCATTGGTGGCTTCTTGTATGTCCCCTGACTGGGAATCAAACCTCCAACCTACAGCATATTGGGATGATGTTCTAACAAACTGAGCTATCCAGCCAGGGCTAGAATATGATGTTTCTAATCTCATTGTTTTCCAGGTACATTTACTATTCTTTTTTCTTATTTTTTAGAACTAAGATTACTGTATAAAGATAATATATGCACTATGGGAGAATTTAGAAAATACAGAAATGCATAAGGAAGAGTAAAAAAAATTAAAAATAATCCAAACACCCACAGGGAATACTAAAATTTATGAAATGCTTACTAAATGTTTACATTAATTCATTTAAACCTCAGAACAATCCTGTTAAAATAGGATGTATATTATTTCCATACTGCAGATAAAGAAACTGAGGCAAAGATATTACTCAAGCTCCCTTAGCCAGCAAATGGCCATTTTAGCCATTTTATTGAAAAAGCTTTTGACTTTTTTTCCCTTTAAAGAAAAATATTGATGCCTTGCTGTGGAATTTTGGGTTCTGTCACTCTCCCACACTATCCCTACTTACAAGTATCTTACTCATGTTATTAGAAGTTACTTGAGCCCTGGCCAGATAACTCGATTGGTTAGAACATTGTCCAGATACACCAACGTTGTGGGTTTGATCCCTGGTCAGGGCACATATAAGAAGCAACCAGTGAGTGCATAAGCAAGTGGAACAACAAGTTGATGTTTGTCTCTCTTTCTCTCCTCCTCTCTCTTTCTCTCTAAAATACATTAAAAAAAAAGAAATGTTACTTGAGCCCTGGCTGGGGTGGCTCAGTGGATTTAGGGCCATCCTGTGAACCAAAAAGTCACCGGTTCATTTCCCAGTCAGGGTACATGCCTGGGTTGCAGGCCAGGTCCCTAGCTGGGGGCATGTGAGAGGCAACTGATCAATGTTTCTCTCACACACTGATGTTTCTCTCCCTCTACTTCTCCCTCCCTTCCCCTCTCTCTAAAAATAAATAGATAACATCTTTTTTTTAAAAGTTACTTGAAAAATTCCTATTAATGGTCATATGATATTCCATAATAGAATTTATAATGTATCCAACCATTTAATAATTGCTGAAGCTCCAGACTACTTCCAGATCCTCACCATTATGTATAATGGTGTAGTAAACTATTTTGGAAATAATCACCTTAAGGTAGGGTAATTTTCTTCAGTTTAATAGAGCTTTTGAAATTGGAGATATTTTCCTCAAGTGCCAGAATATACCATAATTGATACTTTAAAAGGAATTTACTTAATAACAGAAGTTGTATTACAATCATAGAATTGCAGATTCTTCACATTCTAAAATGCTTATAATATACCCATATTACTATAATAGTTTTCAAATAAATATGAAGATGAGAGAACAAGCGAAAATATTTAATAAGTTAAAAGGGTAAGATATAAAATGATAAGAGATATTTGGCTATGGATATATTAAAATATATACATAGGAAGACCAACGGGTAATATGCAGAAATGGAAATGATTGAGTTAAGGTGGTGGGACTGGGGCAGAAAAATTTATTCTTAAATGAAAAAAAAGTATATGGGAAATCCTGCCCCTCATTTAAATAGCATGAGATAATTATTTCAGTAAATACAGCGGTAATTTCTACATGTAAAAATCATAATATAGTTTATTGACTTTGAAAAATGCTATTTAGATGAAGATTATGGAAGAGATTCGGGCCCTCCAGCTAAGAAAATTCGATCATCTCCTCGAGAAGCTAAAAATAAGAGGCGATCTGGAAAGAATTCACAGGAAGATAGGTAAGAGGCTTTGTTAAGCTCTTCCTGCTTACACTGTCAACCATTCTGAGATGAGGGTAGTTTCTGATCACTAAATTAGTAGAATCTTCATTTCTTTTGGGAAGGCACTTATGGTCTACTTAATGTTGTTTTGCATATTAGAGGTTGGTCTCTTTTTAAGGTCATGAGGCTTGCTTGGACTCAACCTGGAATCCAAGGTGATCTCCAAGAATGCCTTAGTTGCCACCTTAAACCTCTAAATACAAGCAGAAAGATTGTTTAAGTATGTAACTTGTTACCTAACATTAGTATTGACATTTTCATTGTAGTAACAGCAAAGAATGAGTGACCCTTCATGTTCAGTTACAAATCACTGGTAGAATCATAACTAAAGCTTAAAAAATTTTAAGTGTATAGGCTGCCAGGTTTTACTGCCTATAATCAATTCTCCTTTGTTTAGATAATTTAATCATTTGGGGTCATTTCCCTTTCCTTAGTTTTATAAATGACTTCAGATGAATTGTAATTTTACCTAAATTTCCTCATGAGACCAGGATGTTGTAGCTTTCTCTGCTCTTACAGGCATACGTATATCAGTGCATGCCCGTCCTCAGTGTGGCCAGCCTCCTTGATGAGGGTGATAACGGCAGCTACCATTTATGATTGTTACGTGCTAGTCTCCATTATGTGTTAATTTGTATTTATTATAATTTAATATTTATCACACCTTTATTAGAGAAAGAAATGTTAACATAGAGGGGTTCAGTGATTTATCCAAGGTTACCCAGCAAATGGACCAATAGGTTTTGAAGTCATGTCTGTTGGACTCTTAATATTTTTAAAGATTTTTTTATTTTTAGAGAGAGGAGATGGAAGGGGAAAAGGGGGAGAGAGACATTGATTGGTTGTGTCTCATTCGCCCCCAAATGGGGGCCCAGCCCACAACCAAGACATGTGTCCTGTCAGGGAATTGAACCAGCAACCTTTTGGTTTGCAGGCTGGTGCTCAGTCCACTGAGCCATACCAGCCAGGCCAAAGTCCATTTGTTAACCATTGAGCTATATCACTTTCAAATAAGTATTAGCAGTTCAAAGACATGAAATAATAGTTCTTACTAGTTTTTCTAAGATATTTACTAACAAGCACTAACGTAACTATAATAAAGCCCCAAGCAGAAGTCTTTCCATTCTGAATTTACAGGATGCTAAATTTGCAGAAATAACAATACTAAATATCTACATTTACCTAATATTTTATGTTTGCTTGTATTGCTAACATCTAATATTTTCTTTGGAGAATTCCAGAAAAATGTGGGGAAATAAGTCTTTCATTGTTTCATGGTGTATCTCTAATCCAGTTTTATATAGCAGCCCAATTTAGAACTATTTATCTTTTATTATATTAATTACATTCTAAGAGTAAACTTCTTTGTAGCCTGTTATAATGTCTTCTTGATGTAATTAATATCTAGCCTAAACTTTTCCTTGTTGTAGTCATCTGGTTTTATTATTCTCTCCTAAGTATCAGGGGTGGTTGAAATAAATATAGCTTTTATTGCCATTTGTATTAAGTGTCTTGTATGTTTATTCCCTCAGACCATATTATGTTGATTTTTTCATTGGTCTCTACTTAAAAGTTCAGCTTTTGCCCTGACTGGTGTGGTTCAGGGAGTTGAGTGTTGTCCTGCCAATCAAAAGGTCACTGGTTCAATTCCCGGTCTGGGCACCTGCCTTGGTTGCTGGCCAGATCCCTGGTTAGGGGTGTGCAAGAGGCAACCAGTCAATGTTTCTCTCACACATTAATGTTTTTCTCCCTTCCTTCCCCTCTCTAAAAATACATAAATAAAATCTTTTTAAAAAATTTTTTTATAAAGCTTAGCTATTAAATTGGCTTTGCTATCATGGGACTCAAGGATTAATGGTTTCTATAAATTCAATAATAAAAGAACTCAAGAAAAATGATATAATTCTTAACATTGTCAGAGACTTGTGAATTAAATGCTTATTTTGCATAAAAACATTTATATAAAATAGTTACAGCCCTGGCTGCTGTGGCTCGGTGGATTGAGCTCTGGCCTGAGAACAGAACGGTCATGGGTTCGATTTCCGGTCAGGGCACATGCCTTGGTTGCGGCGCCTGGTCCCTGGTTGGGGGGCGTGCAAGAGGCAACCAATAGATGTTTCTCTCGCACATCGATGTTTCTCTTCCTCTCTTCTGCCTCCCTTCCCCCTCTCTAAAAAATAAATAAAAATAAATGTTTAGCCCTGGCTGGCGTGGCTCAGTGGATTGAGTGCCAGCTTGCGAACCAAAGTGTTGCCGGTTCGATTCCCAGCCAGGGTATGTCTATTGGCCAGGTCCCCCGTAGGGGGTGCGCAAGAGACAACTGCATATTAATGTTTCTCTCCCTCTCTTATTCCTCCCTTCCCTTCTCTAAAAATAAATAAAGAAAATACCTTTTAAAAAATGTTTTAAAAAAAGTAACAGTTACAGGTTTCAGAATTACAGTTTCTTGCATCAGATTGCTTAGTAAGGAAATATGTTTGTTTGTTTTTTTCCTTTGTTTAGGAGTCTTGGGTTCGTTAGATTGTCATTTGAGTGTGGTTTAGATAATGGGAAATACCAAAAGAGATTAACAGGACCTGCTGCTTAAGAAAGGAGAGCTATGAAGACAAGTTTTATTATGACTTTTGTTTTGTTTTTTTGTCTGTCAGAATTTCTCATGGAATCATAAAATTTTAGCACTGAAGAATACCAAGTGATTTGTTTGAGATCATAAAACTAATGACAAAAACAGGACACTAAAACCCAGATTCCTGAGATAAGATTTGTGAGGACATAAAATATGCATCTTTGTAACTTTAAAAATGGTTCTGTAAAACTTTTCATTGAACTTTGATACTTCTTACTTTATTTTGTAGTGATCTAGACCTCACTTTTATTTTCTCCAGGGTTCAAAGCAGGCCCATGCGCTCATGTTTCTGACGTAGAGAAATAGTGGGGGCAAAAATTACTTCCTTAATATTTTTATTTTCTTGTAGATAAACTTTAGGCATATTGTAATTTATATAACTGAATTCCAATTTCCTTTAATAATTATATTTAGCTCTGGCTGGTGTGGCTCAGTGGATTGAGCACCAGACTATGAAGCAAAGAGTCGCCAGGTCGATTCCCCACTGGGACACATGCCTGCATTGTGGGCCAGGTCCCCATTGTGGGGTGCTCAAAAGGCAGCCACACATTGATGTTTCTCTCCCTTTTTTTCTTGTTCCCCTCTCTCTAAAAATAAATAAAATCTTTTTAAAAATTATATTTAGTATTTTTTGCATCTATATTTTTGGTGCTGTCCATTTATTTGCCTACTTTACCACCATTGACACATTATACAATTGTACTATTTCTATATTCTGCCTTTAACAACAAAGAACTTTTTTCTTACAAAATGTTTTTGTAAGCGTTTTCTACCCTCGCTGGTGCGGCTCAGTGAATTGAGTGCCGGCTTGCAAACCAAAGGGTCGCTTGTTTGATTCCCAGTCAGGGCACTTGCCTGGGACCAGGTCCCCAGTAGGGGGTGCATGAGAGGCAACCACACACTGATGTTTCTCTCCCTCTCTCCCTCCTTTCCCCCTCTGTCTAAAAAATAAATAAAATATTTTTTTAAACTTTTTTTCTTTTTTTCAAGATTTTATTTACTTTTAGAGAGAGGGGATGGGAGGAAGAGAAGGAGAGAAACATCAATGTGTGAGAGATACATTGATTGGTTGCCTCTTGCATGCCCCCAAATTGGGGACCTGGCCCACAGCGCAGGCATTTGCCCTGACTGGGAATCAAACCAGAAACCTTTCGGTTCTCAGGCTAGCATTCAATGCACGGAGCCACATCAGCCAGGGCTGGTTTTGTGAGAAATTTTCAGCCTGTGTTGAGAGGCTTTCCTTTTGGGTTTTTGGAAGTGGTGTTTTCCAAAGGTAGGTAAAAATTGTAAAGTAGGGAAATAACGGAAGCAACTTTACTCCTCAGCATCATTTGAATTTTAGATATAAAGGAGGTTTTTTTCATTGGTCTTTAGTCAGATACCAGAGATCTACGTTCCCTTAGATTTTGATCTAATAACTTAAATATTTTACTCCTTCCCCTTACAGTGAAGACTCAGAAGAAAAAGATGTGAAGACCAAGAAGGATGATTCTCACTCAGCAGGTGATAAATAATATTTAATGTAATAGATGTAATTCTCTTTGTGTATTTATTCATTGAACATTTTAATAAGTGGTTTTTCAGTAATGCCTGAACTATTGTAAATACATGTTTAAAGTGTGTCACAAGAAGCATGTGTTTACACCTAAATTCGACTTTATTTTTACCTAAAGCTACATGCATAAGTTATTTTATATGTAATAGTGGGGTACCTAATCTTACTCAAGGTCATTCTTTGAATTGTAGCTCCTCTTCTGTTGGAATTTTTAAGCATAGACTTTATCCTTTTTGAGTGAAATAAAGCTTCAGGTTATATCTCACAATGGCCATTGCATTGGTTTTTCTGGTTAGTGGTCAAATAATCACAACTCTTGGATTAGTGCATCATAACTTTGATATTGCAGAGGACAGTGAAGATGAAAAAGAAGATCATAAAAATGTGCGCCAGCAACGGCAGGCAGCCTCTAAAGCAGCTTCTAAACAGAGAGAGATGCTCATGGAAGATGTGGGCAGTGAAGAAGAACAAGAAGAAGAGGATGAGGCGCCATTCCAGGAGAGTACGTGCAGTTAGCTTGTTGCCTTGGTCTTGATTGTAGTTTGTGACCTTGATTGTTTTGGCAGTTTTTTTGGGAGAGTGCTAAATGTTGCAGATAATTTCTTAAATTACTCATTGTGAGAAGAGATGACGGCTTTGACACCTATTGATATTGTAAAAGGTTCAGAGGTTATCATGACTATGCTGTTCATTGTTTGTACTCAAATACTCAATAAATAATCGTTAGAACAGTAGTTACATGGTGGGTATTGTGATTAAGATTTATATTTTGGCCCGGTGGAGAAGGGTATAGAGCTCCTCCCCTGCCAAAAAGTATTAGTAGCAGAATTTAGATGTTTCAGCATTTATTCAGATTAATTAGTTACGTGTGTTGTTGCTTTGTATGTAGTTTTGTTTCATTTATTCATGGTTGACCCAAGCACACCAAGTCAATTCAGTTTCATTTCTCTGGTCTCATCAGTATTATTGGGGAATGATATAACTATCAAAAGTTACTTGATAGCCTCCATTTTTATTCAGATTAAGTTTTATTCCTTCCTGTGTTCAACCTACTCTTCAAACAAGTTAGCCATGTGCGTGCTAAACCCATTTTACAGGTGGGGCCAGTGACAGCTTCAGCCAAATTGGTAGTACAGCTGCAAATAAAATCCAAGGGTGTTTGGCTCCCAGATCCCATCCTCCAGTCATTCTTAGCACTTTCTCCCTTTGTTCACTTGGAAGGATTTGTACATTAAGTTGGACGTTGAAATTCTTCTTTCCTCTCAGAAGATTCCGGCAGTGATGAAGATTTTCTAATGGAAGACGATGATGATAGTGACTATGGCAGTTCAAAAAAGAAAAACAAAAAGATGGTTAAGAAGTCCAAACCTGAGAGGAAAGAAAAGAAAATGCCCAAACCCAGGCTAAAGGCTACAGGTGAGTTCTGCAGAATTGAAAATATATTACTACTTTGAAAAATTTCATGAACTAATAGACATTCTTTACAGAAATTCTTCATTAGGGTTTGGCATTGTCCACACAGTTAATTAAGAACAAATGGATCCCGAAAGGATCCTGTATTCTACACCTGGAAGTGTCTCTTATTTATCAATAAGGACTCTAGCCCCTCCAAGAGTCTGGTGGCTTAGCCCTGTTCTTCACCTACTGCCGAGCATAAGTGAGATTTGGGAGTGACCTATTTGTTTCATGCAGTGTTAGAAACACCATGCCAGCCTAGCTGTCACTGCCCTTTATCCCACCAGGAACCCAATCCCAGCATCTCGTGAAGGCCTGGGATTGTGGAAATGTACATCCACAGTAACTCATTCTGTGTTCTGATCCCTACACTGTCCTCTGTGTTAGAATAAAGCCACACTGACCACATGCATTCATTTTCCTTGAGGCCCGTGGTTTCTGCCAGGTATTTTCCTAGTCAGAGCTACTTTGTCATTAAATCAGAAAGGTAGATTTGTTTTTTGTTTTTTATTCTGGCAAGTGGAACCTGGTGATTTTTAAACCTTTAACTCATCACTTCTTACTGTTGGGAATCCTGGAACTGTCCAAAGCTATTTGATGGCTTCAGATTCTGCTCTGATTGTCACATCCTTTCTTCTTCTTGACCTACTTTTAAACATAAACAACATTAAATTTCACAAGCCACTGGGATGATGTGTAGCGTCCTGTTTCTTTAGTATAAGCATGACTGCTAACATGGCATCACAGTGCTGTAAAAAGGGATTGGAAACCAGTGCCCACCCGGGTTTTTAATAAATGGTCTTTATAGCTTTTATTCTGGTAGATTGTTTTGTTTTGTAGTTGATTCTTACTAAAGTCATTGTTTTCTCTTCCCTTCCCCAATTTGGTATTTTTCTTCCCTCAGTGACGCCAAGCCCTGTGAAAGGCAAAGGGAAGGTGGGTCGCCCCACAGCTTCAAAGGCATCTAAGGAAAAGACTCCTTCTCCCAAAGAAGATGACGAGGAACCAGAGAGCCCTCCAGAAAAGAAAACATCTGCAAGCCCTGCACCTGAGAAGTCTGGGGATGAAGGGTCTGAAGATGAAGCCCAGTCTGGGGAGGATTAAAAGTGATGGTGGTTTGGGAGAGATTTTATTTAAAAAAAAAAAAAAAAAAAAAAAGAGGAAAAAAGAAAAAGGGGGGAAAAAAGAAAACCTACGTAAGATAGAACATGGTTTTGGCTATGGCTTGACTCATGGGCTTTCAATGCTTTTTTTTTCCTTTTGTTGAAAATAACATTTTCTCTCTTTTTTAAAAAAAATTTTTTTTAATTAAGAAAACCGTTGTATGTTTAATTTACCTTTTTGTCTATTGGTCTTTCTTTGCCACCACCCTCTCTTCCCTCGCTTTTTCAATGAAAGCCATGTCAAATTAATCACTGGATTGACTGCTTCATCTTTTTATTTTTAATGAATGGTATACCACAGTTGTAAAGCAATAAGATTCGAGATGAACACTATGGCAATTTTGCTTTTTGCTAAACAGTAGCAAGTTGAGCAGTAATCAAAAAACATTAGAAGGGTTTTAGTTAAAAATGATTGCCTCTTTCTCTACTCAGACTTTTTAAAAAATCAATTGTCATCTAACAAGTTTATTTTTTACTTTGGGGGCAGGGCAGGGAGTAGGTTACCTGACCTTGTTTGAGGGTGTGGGTTTTTGTGTGTTTTTTTTTTTAAAATTTCATTTCATCACTTATTATCTCAAAGAGATTCAGAGCCAGTGATCCTTTTACTCTGCTACAGTCTTTAAGGAATTTAAAACAAACAAACAAAAAAAACAAGGGCCTTTAAAACTTAAATCATGCTTAATTTCCTATTTTATTCTCTAATGGTTCATGTTTTAAAATCTATGTGTATCCTGTTTCTTGGATAATATTTTACCAAGGATAAAAAAAAAAAAAAAAAAACCTAGAATTTAAATGGCAAGTCTATACATCACAGTGGATTTCTTCTCAAACTGACAATGTTTAGGTTTTAAGCAAATAAAATACCGGTTAATGTGAAACTCATTCACAGAGACTTGAGATTTTTTTTCCTTTATGAAAACAAAGAATTGAAATTCTTTTATGCCATAAACGTGCATGCATTCAGATCCCATGAACTGTGCTCTGTTTTTATTTGGGGATAGAACATTTTCCTTTTCATACACCTATCTTCTCCAGTTTTTCATAGAAGCATGGTGTGAAGTGCGTCTCCTGGCTTCCTGCTGCGGTGTAGGGTACCACTGCACACCTGCCCCCAGTGCCTACCAGCCCTGCTATAGGACATGGCTCTTTCTTCATTTACTTCACATCCTGTGTTTGGTGGGAGTGTGTTAAATGTTCCCACACTATACAATTTGCTTCTTTTTTTTTTTTTTTACTGGTGCGCCTGCTTACTGTTCATGTTGCTTAAAGCAGGAGTTTACTGGGTACGGCAGGGCTAGAGAAAGCATGCATTCTGGAGGCCTAGGTGCAGTTGGCAACAGACTTTACATGCCTTATGAAAGCAGTCAGGAGATAGATCTGTAAGTTTGATCCTTCACATCCTGATACCATAGGCTTCTGGGAGCAAGGGTTAGGGGCCTTAGTGTGCTAAGAAGTTGAAAAATTAGTGAAATTTAACCTCTGCCTTTTATTTAGATTTGCTTCCTCAGTATTTTACTTGTGCTATTTTTTTTCTTTTAATTACAGCATATTTTTCTGTCAGACAACGTGGCTTTCTTGCAGATGTTCCTAGAACAAAAGGTTATTTAAGGAATATTTTTACTCTGATTATTAAGACACTTTAATATTCTTACTTTGTGATTTAAAAAAAAACAAACACCCAGTGACAGTCATTTCACTGTTGCACTATGTGTTAAAGAATGAATTTGAAGATTGTAGTACTAGGCCAAAAATGCAAAGCTTGAACATAAGTAGCAGTTGGATTATTATCTAAAGATTATTCTGTTTGCTTTAGTGGGTTCGTTCAGGTATCTAATTTTAACAAGGTTTGTGTCTTACAGCAAGAGACCTATCAGTGTTTCCACCGTGCACTTCTATTTTTAGGGGTTTATAACTTTAAGTCTTACATTCCTAGTAACATTTGGGATTTTCTTAGATTATGTTTTGTGAAAATTGGGGGGGCGGGCCGTCTTTTAAAACTTTAGCCTCGGTATTTTATGTAATACAGTCTCTTTAATATATTAATCTGCACTAACATCTCTGTGATATAGGCACATACTTTAGAGATAATCCTGTCTTCTGAGTTACCTGTGTGCATTTGGTTGGGCTTTTTGTGTGGGATCCCTTTTTTAAAAATCGATTCATGAGATTGAAAAATGTATTATGTGTTTGTAATAGACTGGACAAAAGGATCTGTGTCCCCAAGTGAGACAGCCTCTGAATGACCTTTGTTTTCTTCACTTTTTGTTCATTAAAACACTCTAGTCTTCCCCTCAAATCATGCATGCAAAGAGGAGGGTAGCTGCGGTGTCGCAACTGGAAACAGGTGCTTAATAGTCAGGCTTGATGGCGATGTCAGGACAGGTCACAAGCTATAAGCTGATGGAGGCTGGCCATTGGCACCACCCTTGACTAAACTCCCTCTTTTTCTCTGGAGTGCCTATGGTGAAATGGCAATAGCGTTCACTGTCTTGTTTTGCAGTGCTCAGGAAGTGGGACATTAATTTTGAAGGTGCTTGTTTGTGTTAACTGAATTCTCTTTGTTAGCTCTGTTAGGTTTACCTCTGAAACATGGATTTCGGCAGCTATGCTGACTGACACTACATTCTAGTTATTAAGAGTTTTTTTTCTAGACTTCCCAACACACACACAACTTGACATGGGTAGTTTACATATTATTAAATCTATCTGTACCTTGCTGCTGCTTTTAGCCCTCCCACCTCAGATTGGAATCAATGGAGCAGGCCCAAAGGACACCTTTTAATTTTAGTAGTGCTGGATTTGTTTTTTCTAAAAACCTCTCCGTTTCATATCTCCACTCCCTATTGAGTCTATAAAGGAAAATCAATGGGCGTGTCCTCCTTTAGGGAAGTAATGAGTGGGAATCTTTTAATCTCAAAAAGTAATGGTAATTTCGCACGAAGGAGGTTTGATAGTGATTTCTTACCCCCCTGCCCGCAGTCACAGTCTGCCCAGGTTCAATCTCCAATTCAATAGTTATTCTTGGAACTGGTTCAAGTCGCATTTTCTTATAGGTAACTAATCAGTAGGAATTGGGGGTTATAGTCCAGTCAAGTTTTTGACACTTGTGGATATATATCTGGCCAGCTAAACTGAAATGACCTCTCCCCACCCCCAAACATTTCTTTCTTTATCCATGGCCATTCGGGCCACAAGTGAATTTTAGAGTACGGATGAGGAAAGGGAAGAGTGCTTTTCTTTCAACAAACCAGTTTAGAAGATGCTTTGAGAGTGTTAGAAAGGCAAGAGCAGGAGATAATACCTGGAGCAACAGGGAAAGCTTTTAGAAGTCCTGTGGCCATTATCACTGTTGTAAAAAATGAGCATTGGAGGGGTTCTTCCTGTGCCTGCCTCACCAGTAGCTGCACTGAGAAGCAGAAACGACCACCGCAGGAGTTTGCAAAGGAAGAAACCTGAGTTCCTGTCTCTGTGGCCTTCAGACTTAGATACTTAAACACGAGTAATGCACATTCTCTGCCAAGGGATAGGGGAAATCTAATAAAAGTCTGGTTGCTCTTGAGGATAGAAAGTCGTCCTTTTCTCTATGTGCTTGGAGCCGTGTTTATTGGGAAAGGAGTTACTTTGAATATTGGGACATCAAGCTATCTATAGCCAAGTTTCAATCTGCAACCCATTTTCTCTTTGTCTTGGGATAAACTTGAAACAAAATGAACCCTAAATCCCTAAGTTACCCCCCCTTTTTTTGTAGCCAAATTCACAAAATTCACAGTGGTGCTGACTGTGTATTAACCACTATTGGGAAAAGTCCCTTAAACCTGCCTGTTGCCATGCCAGTGGAGTGACTGAACTGGTGACATCTGTTATGTTGGAGCATGCTTCGTGTGGCCAGTGGAATGCCGCCATTGTACACATACTTTGTACATCAGGGTTAAAGGGAGGGTTTTCTAGATTTTGGGGGGAGGGTAAAATTGGGGCTTTTTGTTGTTCCTTTTTTGATGTGGTATTAGGGGTATAGTACTAAGCTAATGCCCTAAATAACATGTATAAAAACCCCTGAAGTATTGTGTGGGTGTGTGCGTGAGTGTGTATATGTCTGGCAATTAAACCTTTGTCTTCTGGAAATTAGTGAACTCTTTTTTTTTTTTCCCCCCTCCAGAAGCATTTGTTACAAGATTTGTAAATAAGAGCTCTACCTAGTTTATTTACCACGAACATGTTGCAGCAAACCTTAAATACCTAATTCCTGCAAGATTTAAGGAAAGACTTTAAGACTTTCCAGGTTAAGCAGCAGCCAAGTTCTCAGTAACTGTTTGCCTTGATTCATCTTTCAGACTTCATTTTGCCAGCTCTAAAATTCCCAGTCTTCCTTCATTTTAGTCCTTAATCTTTTATGTTCTGAGCAGGAAGGGTAAAAGAGGAACCTGCTTAAATGTATTTAATTGTAAGTCCATGGACTGAGACCGGGGCAGCCCTTTCTTAACACTGCAATGTTGCTAGATATGTGATCAGATACCAGAGAGTTGGGCATTCTTGCAATACCTTAACAGTGCTGAAATCTGCAGCATGGTACTAAGGATGTTAAAGTTTGAATGTAACCACTTTATTTAAAAATTTTTTTTAATTTAAATGAAATGGGGTTGAAGTGAACATGATTTTGTTGACCATGTTCGTGAATTATAGATGCAACATGCATTGGTAGACTTGTGATGGTCTGTGATACTTAATTTTTACATATCCCAGTCTCTGTATGTATCAGCATAGACAAAGAAAAAACAAACTCCTGCTTTCTTTTACTGAAGGGTTTCCAGGACTGCGTGTCTGCTCCTGAGCTCTGTTTTAAGTATGTATCCTTTGCTTGTATTTTGTATTAAAAAATAAGAAAAAGAACCCGTTATTGTTGAGCATGTTGGCATTGTCCCTTTTGTTTTTTTTCTCTTTTTGGGACATGAAGCAAGTTATTCTTTTTCTGTATCTTTTTTTCTTTTGTAAACTTTGTTTTGTTTAAAAATGGCTTTATAAAAGGGCTTTTATAACCCAGATGCGTGCTCTGTGTACTTCTTGTAATACCCTTCACGCAAATACACTGACAGAGTGGATCACCTTGGCCTCTCACCTCCCAGTCCAGCCAGACTTTGGGGGTGGGGTGTGGGGAGGATTGTTTCCTGAATGAATTCTTTAGAAACTAACAGTGACCATCACTCTTAACTGGTAACAAGTAAAGCATCTCTTGTCTCAAGTCAAGGAGAAATTAATACTTCAGAGTAAGCAATCAAGAGGCAGTAGATTCGTTAACCTGATTCATCAGGGGAGTACTGACGACTTGGGTGCCTGAGTTCCCAGTTCGCGTTTTCCTCATGTTCACATCCAAGGCGATAAACCATTGTGGAGGGCAAAATTCTTTAAACAATCATACATGATTTAGGATAATGTTTGTATGAAACAAACATTTGCATTCAATCTTAGATACCCGTAAGAACTACACTATATTGCATTTTAGAATTAAATACTACTAAGACGATGAACATGGTACAAGGTCCCCTTTAGAATTGGGCTGCTGTAGCTATTAGGGCTTTTATGCTTTCCAAATTTGCCCCTTGTTTACATTCTTGCATTGTCATACAAATGTTTAATCAGCATGTAAACTCAACTTGGCTTTGGAATTACATGCTTTTTGCATGCTCTTGTCCCTCAGTGACTAACTTCACGGTTATTTCTTAGAGTTATCTGCCCCAGGCCTAAGCTGACTTTGGAAGAACGTTAACCAGCCACTTCCTGGTAATATGTACGTGTTATGATTGACACGCCAGATTACCGTTTCAGTACAATGCCGAAGAAATAGATTCCAGTTTAAAGGACTTCAGAAACCAGGTGGACAACAGAAGTTTGGTTTGGTAAAGCATTTGGAGCTCCCTCAACCCTTAATCCCCGAACATCACTAGGCAGTAATTTCAGACAGTAGCTATTACAGGATTTGGCCTTTTATAAGTGTTTATTCACATATTACCTTGTTCAGTTTTCCCAGCGACTGTGAGATTGGCCAGATGTTTGTTGTTCCTCCAATTTCATAGAGAATAAACTGGTTCAGATAGGATGCACTTTGATGTGGCTGGTATGGCACAAGCACTTGAACCAGGTCGTTAGTCCTGTGTGCTTGAAGTTGTCACAGCTCCCGGTATCTTGTATAAATGGGTCCCTTGAACCTTCTTTCTGATAACCTTTTGAGCATTTTGCTGTTTTTCTTCAGCATCTCTAAGTACCATGCAGTCCAATGACTTCCATCAAAGACAATGAGAAAAAATTATTTTCAGTGAGATATAAAAATTTCTCATTACATACTTAAATTTACTTGAAAATCTCTGTGGTTCCTAGATATGAAGCTTCGACTTATTTAAAAGCTTTTATTTTCTAATTATGTCTTAAGATAGTGACTATGCAGGAAAACTAGTCATCTTAATTATATAGCCCTTACCGCTGCCAGTAGAGGGCAGTATTTATCCTCCATGTACTTAGCTAGTGGGCCCATTGCTCTCTCCACCTCATTTTCAGATTCCTTTCGGCTGGGCTCAACGTCCACTGTATCAGGACACCCTACCACGTACTTGGTTGAGGGAGGTTCTGTAGTCAGCGTGCTCACTCAGCGTTCTAGTGTACGCAACAGCAATATTTTCTGGATTTTAAGTGGAAAATAGGATCTCTTGGTACATGCGCATCTGTCTACTTATGTTGTTGTTCTCTTTTTACAACTCCCAAATTCTATGTGGATTTGGGAGTTGTAAAAACCCTATGTCCCAAAATTAAGGTACACATATGTTGAGATTTCAAAATGCAACTGTAAATTCTTGGCCCTAGTTTGAAACAGGTGTTGCCTTTTGAAATTGCCCTCCAGCTCAAAACCCTTGTCTCTTGCACAAGCAGCGCTGATACACATTCACATACAATGCATACTGAGACTTGTTTTCAAGGTAAGGTGGTACCTTGTGTTCCTTTATCTTGATGGTGTGCTTCACTTTTCCTCCATTATCAGTAGAATGGATAGGTACCCAGCTGACATGCTTTGGCTGGGCCACCATCAGGAGTGGTCATTACTCATGGGTGTGTGTGCCCCTGTTCCAATATTAAAGTCCTGGACAAATACTGTGAAATAAATGCCGTGTTTATCCTGGGGTCAGAGAGTGAGAGGTGCAGCCAGAGTTTCCATCCTAGTATAGTAGAGCAAATAATTACTTAGAAATATGATAGCAAAATGTTGGAAATAATAGTTTGCTTTGATTTAGGTCTAAGCTGGCACCCAGAAATGAGCTGTTGAAAAATGTAGGGAACAAGCAGATCAAGGAAGATTGCACACACACACAAACTGTTATTGGTAATGTTAAATTGAATGTATATGTGTGTACACACATACCAAGTCCTTTTGTAAGAATCTGTGAGGCCACGTCCTTGGCTCACATGGAATGTAACATCTCCAATAGGTATACTTTTTCCACTTTGGGTAGGAACAGGAATATATAGTCTTATGTGTCTTAAGGACTCTCCTGACTATAAGAAATTAGGGTGGATGGGTTAGGTAAGGCTCTGAAGGAGATGGGGGTGTCCAACCTTTTGGCATCTCTGAGCCACACATTGAACACACAAACACTAACAAAAACTGATGAGCAAAAAAAAGGTTTTAAGTAAGTTTATGATTTTGCTTTGGGCTGCGTTCATGGTCATCCTGGGCTGCATGCAGCCTGCAGGCTGTGGGTTGGACAATCTTGGTAACTAGCTGATTGGTTATGTGGTAAAAGTGATTCTCACCTACAACAAACTAAATGTATAGTGATATAATTAATAAAAAAGTATATTGGGAGTCCTGGCTGGTGTGGCTCAGTGGATTGAGCGCCAGCCTGTGAACTGAAAGGTCGCAGGTTCGATTCCCAGTCAGGGCACAAGCTTGTGTTGTTGGCCAGGTCCCCAGTTGGAGGTGTGTGAGAGGCAACTGATTGATGTATCTCTCATACACTGATGTTTCTCTCCCTCCCTTCTTCTCTCTCTAAAAGAAAATAAATAAAATCTTTTTTTTTTTAAAGTAGATGGTGAAACAATTGTCTTTACCCAAAAAATATGCAGAGACACTGACATACACTGGATCCCCACTTTGTGACTATAAATTGGTTGTCCTGTAGTTTACAAATTTAGCCTAATGGAATAAAATACTAAGCATTTTTAAAATACGGTTTTACTTCTAAAGTATGATGATATAGCAGAGCTCTTTTATAAGATGCTAAATGTCTTTAGGAGTCATGGAGGAATCAATTGATATTCTATTTAGATCTTGGAACATAATCTGGGGCTTCAGTAACCTAACTTCATATCTAATGCATGCCACCTCTCAGTTACAAACTCCAGGTTCCCCGTTTAGTCTTTCCTATGGCCTCTGATCTAATTTACCACTATCTCTTCCTTCTCTCTCTCCTTCTCTCACTGACTTATGAATGAACATATGAACATTTTCCATGAGGTTAGTATTTTTGAAGCAAATATATTATTTATAAATGAACCAGGTGGCCCTAGAAGTGGTTGGGGAACCAGTTGTCCTGTACGGAGCACACAGTTGGCCCAAGTACAAGATAAATAGCATTTCTTGGTAAACCTGAACAAAGCAGAGCTTAGATTCCAAAGATCCATTGTAGGGAGCTGCTGCTGTAACTTCAGGTATACAGGACATACATACACAGCAACTAGTTAAAGAGAGTGGTTGTTGTCCTAGACCTTGCACAATGCGCCAGTCTCGGGCTACCAGCAAGCATTCTTTTCTTCTCTCATCCTGCATTTCTGTTTCTTCCCATGCCCTCAAATAAAGCAACGAGACCTAATATTTGTCTCATGGTTATTTACTGTTCTTTAGAATCAACACCACTGAGCAGTCACTGAGAACCGGACGCCCCATTCTGAGACACTGAAGTCTTAGTGGGGCCGCACGTTAATAATGCCAGACAGTGGAAATGGGAATTCCTAGAACATGTGTTGCTTCTAGACTTCACCTCTGAATTAGCCAGGAATATTTATTGTTGATAAAAATCATGGTGACTATATTCCAAACTAGAACTTGGGGCCTGGGTATAATGAAGAGTTTTTGTTCTATCCCCCAATAGGAAAGACAGTCTAAATAGACCTTGGATATCAGAATATTGCCATTTCTGGGATATTTTTATGGTTTAAGGAAATGAAGCATGAACTATTTAAAACAGGATTACTCCAGGAAATGTATGTGACAAGTATAAAAAGTGCAGCAGGTGTTAAGCTGCAGAGTTGAGAATAGCTGCCATACTGTGATGCTCTCACTACAGCAGGAGCCGCCGTCTGTTTTACTGAAACCCCCACTCACCTTTCCTCACCCGAGACCTGCATTAGAGAAGTTTTGTGGCTGGCGGTACATGAAGCGGACAGATCTTGGGCGAGTCACCTGCCCGCCTGCCTCCCTCCCCATCTCCCCCCCTCTCCCCGCCCTTGCCTGGTTCTCCTTTTTATATAGGGGGAATAATAAGCAACTGATTATCCTCTGCTTCAAAGGGACACTGTGAGAGTGGGTGAGGCTGTGTGCACCTCACGCCTGGGAGAGAAGCTCTCGGCTCCGAAGTTGCTCTTGGCATTGTAGACCAACTGGCCTCAAACAAAAGCAGCAATGTTCCTCTAGGCGAGGCCCATGCCTGCGAAGTGCCATTCCTGCAGAACTGAAATCCTTTTGGCTTTGTCCCTGAAGTGCAAATGAGTTATTTATTAGTAAGAACACTCTTGCAAAAGGGTAAACTTTAACCAGCCCACAAATTAGGGTGGCTTTAGAGGAAAGGGTAGAGTAACAGTAACTCCCAAGTCACCAGCACTAGTAAAAGGGTTTAAAAAAAAAATAGTGTTAGTATACAGTACTGGTTGTACTTTGACTATTTCTTCAGCTTTTCATAGAAAAAAATTTTCATTCAGTGGATACAAACTGAATTATGGAACATATATTTCAAATGAGGGAACATTCCTTTGGACTAGAAAAACTGATTAGAAATACT